CACTGCGCGACCTGAGCAGTACTTGCGGAGCCTTTCCTCTGAGTCGTATTTCATGTCTCCGATCGCCCTCTTGCTCCAGCTGTTGTTGCATCCAGCCGCAGTGTACGTGGGGTCTGTCATCGTCGGCCATTGCCCCTCTTATCCGTTCGGGTGCCCGAAATCAAAGGTCGCGCCTCGTGGGCGCGGCGTGCGCATCGTAGGCACGACCTGGACCAATCCGCCGATCTTGAAAATGGTTCGCATGATGGCGCGGGCGCGCATTGACGACTGGCACGGGCGCGATCCCACCGACGGTTGGTCCTCAAGCAGGTTTACCAGACATCGGCGCGAAGAACTCGTCGCGCGTTCCCGGTGGAGGCTGCGGCGTGGCTGCCGGACGCTGTCGGAGTAGTGGAGGCGGCTATCTTACCGCGCCTGTCCTTGCATTGAGCATCTCCGCAATGCAGTGGTCTACCTCTTGTAACTCGACGCAGTAGGGTTGCTCATGCGCCGTGGGCGGTGCAATCTGCCCGTGGGACTGGTCGACGGCTGGTGTAGCACACGGCGGGTGGAGCGCTGCTGCGCCTGACGGGTGGAGCGCGTCTGCAAGTGAGCCAGCGAGCGAAGGTAGCCCTGATCCTGTCACGACGTTGTTCTCACAAATGATCCCTGAGCAGATGAGCGCGTTATTCGCCGTAGTTTCGCATTCGCTGCGTATGCCGCTGTTCTCGACTGTGAAGAATTGATATAGTCGTGTATTCTGCGGGCCGCATATAACGCACATGGTCTCTTTGAGGTCTTTCTCGGCGCCGCCTATGTTATAGCGTGGCTGCCTGAGCCGCGCCACGTCGTTGTCGATGTCGTTGTTGAACTTGTCCCATGTAAGTCCGACTATGACTTGTCGTCGTAAGTCGCGGTCCTCGCCATCGCTCGGCATGACTGGTTGCCCGTTTCGCTTGTAGTCTGCTTGGCGGCAGAATGGAATTTTACATGGTCCCTATGCCAAGTGGCTGCACGTGCTGCCGCGCGAGCTCATGGCTTTCGATTTGCCTCGTGCGTCTGCAAGTTGGGTCTGCAGTAGTTGGCAGTAGCCTGATGACTGGTAGGTGAGCCACTGTGACGTGGCTTTGGTTGGCTGCGCATGCCTGCCTCCGTTTGGCGGGAGACGGCATGAATGTTCCAGGCGCAAGGAAAATGAGGACGCAATTGTGGTCGAGGCTGGCATGGGTGACGTCGTCTTGTTTGTTCCGTTGCACTTTGTGCCTTGAGCGTGGATGCTGAATTTGGGTCAGGTGGTCTGGTGTTGCAGTCCGTTGCAGTGTCTCGCAGGTGGGCGCCTTCTGCTTGGTTTTGAGAAATGGTGGACGATCGTCGTCGCCCTCGTCTTCGCAGTAGTTGGAGGTTGTGCGGCACCGTAGTTCAAGAATCATACTCCGTCCACGCGTGATTTGGTCGTCGCCTTTCTCGGGGAAGGTCGCGTAGATGTCAACTGCAAGGACGAAGGCGAAGCGCTGTGAGTGCGACCGCGCATCGGCGTACACTGCAAACGCATCATCCTGCGTAGCAGCATAGGGAAGATGGACGTCGCTGCGCACGACTGCGAGCACAAGATGCAAGGCGCCGAGACACGGTGCCAAGTAAGTCACTACTTGAGCCAAGTTTGCTGCGGCGCTGCGAAGTCGGGTTGGAAGTACGCTGCGCGTGCAGTATGCTGGCGAGGACCTGGATGGCGATTTCAGGCGCTCATCCCCATTGGCTTGGTGTCTATGGTAGGTCCTTATTTAAAGATGGCGCATCGTCCTGTCTGCTGCTGCGGTGCGAAAAGTGCCGTTGCGGCTTCTCCCTGAGGCATGGTTCATAGGTCCCCGTGCCAGGTGCGAAGCGGGCGAGTGTCGCTGCGGGGATATGCACCGTCGCTGTGTAGCGTCAGCTCGCATGACGTCAAATTCCACGCCGCGCATGTAGCCTCGCCGCGAGGCATTCCCCCGCGGGCCCCGCGGGCGAGCGGTGGAAGCACGCGCAGTAGGCCACGGCATATCCCCCGCGCTGGCTGGCCCCCTGCTTCTCCCTGAGGCATGCCCGATGGGGCCCCCGCGCCAGGCGCGAAGCGGGCTGCCTAGCGGCGAGACGGCGCGAGTTAGGCCCGCACTGGAGTAGGTTGTGCGTTTGTCGGCGCTGCTGGTGGATATGCTGGGCGCTGCGCGCAGGTCGCGCTGTTGCCGTGGCGTAGCGCTGCGCTCGTGCATCTCCAGGTCGATCTCGTCGAGCGCCGACCATGACTTCCAATGCTGTGTACTTCCATCGCTATGGCTGCGTCTATCTTTACAAATCATGCGACCGCCGCCAGTGGCAATGATCAGAATGCACCCTCGTCGGCCTGACGAAACGGCTATGCGACAAGACATTGCGGCACGCATGGGCAACTGCTATGGATCGCGCGCGGCCTGCGTGACAGCCGGCAGGCGAGAGCCACTGCTCTATTCAGAATCAGAACAGAAAACGCGATCAACATGCGCAACTAACTTCGTGCATACAGAACGCGGCACGTCGCGTTCAATGCGGACAACCAATTGGTCTAAACAGTAAGCCAAAGACCCGTGGATGGATTGTGCTCGCGGGGCCCTTTTGCTTCTCCCGGAAACACGTCCTCGCCTGGCTCCCTTGCCAGGTGCGATGCGGGCAGGTAATGTAGACTGCATCTTTGCCGCGTGAAGGGGGACTTCATTATGGAAGTGGGCAAGTCATTGCGCCGAAGTTGCCTTCTGCTTCCCCATGAGGCGTGCCCGTCGGGGCCCCCGTCCCAGGTGCGAAACGGGCAGTAGTTTGGCATTCTTGGCTCGAGACCCATGGGCTGCTATGTCGCTGCAGATTTGGCGTTGTGGATCTTGCTGACGGGTTGGCAGTCGCTTGGGGTGCTGCGTCGCGGTGCTACTGCGTCGCAGCGCTGCCTGGTGCGCGTGCAACTAATGGTATCTGGGCAAATGATTGCGTCGATTGTCGCTCGGGCAGAGTAATCAGAGAACGCGGTTTGTTGGCATTTCTGCCCCTCGCAAGTAATTGCAACCAACAGTTATAGGTCGGAGCATTGAATGTTTTCTCCGTGCGAACACAGAGAAACAACATAATTATCGAAACCGATCTCGCCGATATTCTGTTTTCGGGCCGGCAGGCGCTAGCCTCTGATAGTGCCTGACAAGGCATCTGCAGTCGGCGCATAGAACCTTCGACATGTAGTTGCCTAGGCTTGGTATGCTACTGCATCTGCCAACGATGATCTGATAATCGATGCACTCTGTCTCCTTGCACAGAGATGCGTGGCTTCTCCGTGCCATGCGGTCCCTTGCTGAGACACGCCACCGATGGGCTCCCATTCCTGGTATGTGAAGCGCGCTTGTCGGTTGTATGGTGCACGGTGACGTTGGCCAGGCAGTATTAAGCCTGATTGTGCCCGTATGCTTCTTCCTGAGGTATGCCCGATGAAGCTCCCATGCCAGGTATGAAGCGTGCTTGGCTGGGGACTTGCCTTTTGCTACATGTCCTTTTGATACGTACTTCTCCTTAAGGTATGCCCGAAAGTTCTGGGCCAGGTATGAGGCAGGCGATGTAGATTGGGTGGTCAGGTCGGCGCCTGTTGTGTGGTTGGGCTGGTCAAGTGGATTGGTGGATTCGCTTTGGCCGCATGGCGATATGGTGTTTGTTTTGGCTGTGCTGCAAGCAGTCATTTGTGTGTTTGCTACCGCTAACCAGGCAATGGTGTTGTAAGTGCTGTCGTCCTGTTGTGAGCTGTATGAGTAGAAGTGCTCTATAGCCCTGTGATCTGGAACATGTTGGTGCAAGTCCAAAGGCAGAGGTGCTGCCTTGTCAAAACGTGCTGATGCCTTTGCTAAGACTTTCGTGATGGGACTGCAGAGTTCTGTCGGTAAGTTGTACCTGCCTGAAGTTGGAATATGGGTTGTGCATACTGCAAGTGCATGTGTTTCGGTTGTGTCGCTCGGTAATCGCGCTTCTTATCAATGACAGATGTAGTGCTAGCCTGGTTGGTGTATGACATAGTTTGTTGAATGTAGGGTGCGTGCCGCTGGTTCATTGTCGAAGTTGCGAAAGTTTCCAGATCTTTGGGGCAGTTGAGAGACATCTTGGTTGCTGGGTAAGTAGCATGGCAGGTGCGCTCGTGAACTGGCGACTACCAGTGGCAAAATCGCGTGTTGTATTCTCATGTTGGCTACACGTGTCCGTATAAGCTATTATTGTGGTTGGTTGGGAACCTCCCATACTTGAGTGGGGGTTCGGTGTGTGGCACTGGCTGATCAGGTGTCTTCGGGTGGTTTGCTACAAATGGCTGCTACATGACCTTGTATGATTATCTGTGATCGCGCGTCAGGAACTTCTGGTGTCGCTGGGAATAGTTGTGAATCTGCAATGTGGCCAACGCTGACGCACATGTATTTGTTAGTGGTTCGGTTAGTTCCTACTTGGTGCTGTAAATCGTTGTGTTGTCGTTCGCCTTGGAAAACAATAGTATGTAAATTAGCTCCTCCTCCTCCTCCCCATGCTCCTCCTCCTCCTCCTCCCCATGCTCCTCCTCCTCCTTCTCCTCCTTCTCTTCGTCATCCCCCCCCTCCTCCTCCTCCTCCTCAACCTCCTCCTTCTCCTCTTCCTCCTCCTCCTCTGACCTGCCATTTGACAGTAGACGCCCTCCGCTGTTGAGGCTGCGTAGCTGCTGGTGAAGCTGCGTGGCCGCAACAAGAGTCAGGAAGGCACAAAAGGATGGACGGCGGACGCCGGGACGAGAGACAGGGCACGACGGGAAAGTCCTCTTCTTCTCCTTGCCCTTCTCATCCCTTCTCCTTCTCCTCCTCCTCCTCCACCTCCACCTCCTTCTCCCCCTCCCCCTTTTCCTCCTCCACCTCCACCTCCACCTGCCCCTCCCCCTCCTCCTCCTGAGCGCACCTCCCCGCCCACACGATTTCCCCCCTCGAGGTCTCCATCCCCCCCCCTCTGGGGCGGGGAGCGCGCGGGGCCTGCGCCACAGGCGGTCCGCCCGGGCCCTGGCAAAGGGGGGGGAATGGGGGTCAGCGGGCGCCTCGCTCCTCGCCAGGGGAAAAGACGAGGGGTGGGAGGCCAGTCGGGCAATAAAATCCTCCGGGGCGGCAGGGAGGGGGGCGTCCAAGGGGGTGGGCGTAAATCATGGCCGGCGGCACGTGCGCGGCCCAGGGGGGGGGGGGGGGCAGGGACGTCTTGAAATCAGCAGAGGTGGCATGACATCTGGGGAGACATCATGGCCCCGCCATGATATCCCCCCCCCATCCTAGTCATCACCCCTGCTGGCCGCCCCCGAGATCCCGGCCTTCGACAAAAGGGCTCGGGACGAAAAGTCGGCCCCGGGGAGGTCGAAACCTCAAGGGGGGCCCGCGCCCGCGCGGTGAACAACAATTCCCGCGGCGGGGGTCTTGGCACGAGGGTATTGGCACGAGAGGGCAGGGAGGGCGGGTACGGTTGGTCGAGGACCAGCAGTGGGGACCTCCTCCCTCGCCAGGGGGGGGGAGAGAGAACGAGGGCGGCGAGCCCGAGAGGGGGAAGTGAGAGGAGGCAGGGGCAGGCCCTCTCAGAAGGCGGCGGGGCATCTCGGAAGCCCTCGGCGCCCTTCCGAGAGGAGCCGCCCGCGCGGCCTCGAAGAACGGCCTGCAGGGCCTCTCCGAGGGCGCCGAGGGCTCCTGGAAGCCCCGCCGCCTGCTGGGAGGACCCGTCCCCTCTCTCGCTGTCCCCTCTTGGGCTCGCCGCTGGACCAGGGGCCCCCTGGATGGGGTCGGAGGATCGCGCCGCATCGCCGATGCATCGGAGATGCATCGGCCCTGCACTTGCCACGGCGGCGATGCATCGGCGACGTCGGCGTGGAGAAAACTGTGCCCCACATCCGGCCGCATCGCCGATGCACCGCCGATGCATCAGCGATCCTCCGACCTCATCTACTCCGACCCCATCTAGGAGGCCTGGTTGGACCAAGGGGGAGGGGGGCGGCAGGGGGGCCAGTCAGTCGAGCCCACGAGCGGCGCGGCTCAATCTGTGGAATTCTTTGGAAGAGGGGGGGAGGGCGCCAAGGTCAGCACACAACGCAAGGACGGCGCCTGGAAAGCCGACAGCTGGGACGAGAGCCCGAGCCCCCAATGAGTCGGCAGGGGTAGGAGCGTGAGGGAAAAGGCAAGGGAGAGGCAATGGAGAGTGAGGTCCTCCTTGCCTCCTCCTCCTTCTCCTTCTTCTCCTCTTCCTTAAACTCCTCCTCCTTTTCATCATGTTCCTCTTCTTCCTCCCTTTCCTCCTCCTCCTCCTCCTCCTCCTCCTTCTCATCATATCCACATATAATCATATACTCATGCCCTCATCTCCTCGTGTCATGGTGTCAACATATCCTCATATTAGCGTCTCCTCATATCCTTGTCCTGCTCCTCCTCCTGCTCCTCCTTCGTCCTCTCCGTGTCCTCCTCTGTGTCTCGTCCTCGTCTTCGTCTCTCCTCCCTTTTCCCTCTTCTCCTTTTCCGCTTGTCCCCTCCTCTTATCCCCTTCCTCCTCCTCCTCCTCCTCCTCCTCTTCCTCCTCCTCCTCCTCCTCTGCTTCCCTTCAACCGAATATCATACCCACAGTACCTCACTTTTGGGTGGCTGATCATCGGGGCCTCGTTTAGGACAATGCAATCTTCGTTTCGTGCCGTATATTGCGGTTTAGTGAAGCCAGGCCCAGCCAGGTCATAACACATGTGCCAATTCTTCATCCTGCTTCTGCGGTGTCTCTCCTCCTCCTCTTCCTCCTCCTCCGCCTTAATATTGCTGTCAACTCTGGGTTCTGGCGTCTTCCCCTACTATTCCACAGGCGGCGGGAGGCGACGGCCGATTTGTCTATCCCCCGAGACGATGATCCCGCACCGAACCACACTAAACAACACCAACACCGCACTAAAACGCGCCAAACGGCACCAAACCGCACTACGCCGCACTAGCGACGCTAAACTTAGGTCGGGCATGTCCTCCTACAGGCGGATTATGGACGAAAAACTTAAAACATGTCAGGCAATAATCAAGACATAATCGAACTAGCACGACAAATCGTCACCAACGAAGGGCATGCCCGACTTAACACTAAACCGCACTAAACGGCACTAGACCGCACTGACGTCAGCGACACCAAACCGCACTAAGCGGCACGAGACGACAGCACATCGAGACTGGGATTGGCCGGGGTGCCAAAAAGGCTCCCATGATCTGCCACCTGATCTCGTTGCCTTCGGCAAAATAGCTGGCATTATTGCTGATGCAGGCCCTTCTTTCCGTTATCCTGTTATCCTCTCCAAAATGTCCCTCCTCCCCTCTTCCTCCTCGTGGTGCTGGCGATAGTCAACTGAGTGACTGCCGATGCTACGTCCCGCCATCTTGATTATTATTGTCCTCCGTCCCCTCCTCATCCTCATTCGCGCTCGTTTCCTTTTTTTTCTTCCCTCCCCTCCTCCTCCTCCTCCTGAGGGCGCGCCCGCGCGTCGCGCGAGCGTCGTCAGCGCGCTCGGCGCCCCTCTCAAGCCAGCCCAGCTGCTCGGCGGCGCTGCAGGGCCAGCTGCGTCTGCACGGCGCAGCTGCTGACCCTGTAAGGCCCGAGTCAGCTCACCGCGCTGCTGGCCCTCTGGCGGGTTGCGCACCTCCCGTAGAGGCCACTGTCGGGCTTCCCCGCTCAGGCGCCCCCGGGGGCTTCCACCACGCATGGTGTCAGCCCATCCCCCGGTTGAGTGGCGTGCTTTGGCGCTCGGCCCTCCACGCGGCCTCGCAAGGCTGGCGTGCCAGCGTGGGCGCCACCAGCACCTCCTCCTCCTCCTGATCCTTCTCCTCCTCCTCATCCTCCTCGTCCTCCTCCGCCTCCTAATCCTTCCCCTCCTCCTGCTCCTTCTCCTGCTCCTCCTCCTACTAAAGTCCTCATTCTCATCCAAATCCTCCTCCTCCTCCTCCTCCTCCTCCTCTCCCTCCTCCTCCTCCTCCTCCTCCTCCTCCTCCTCCTCCTCCTCCTCCTCCTCCTCCTCCTCCTCATCATCATCATCATCATCATCACCACCACCACCACCACCACCATCATCATCATCATCCTCCTCCTCCTCCTCCTCCTCCTCATCATAATCATCCTCATCATCATCCTCATCCTCGTCCTCATATCTATCCCCATCCTTATCCTCATCATCATGATCATGCTCATGCTCATGCTCATCCTCATCATCATCCACACCCTCATCATCATGATCAGCATCAACATCAGCATCAGCATCAGCATCAACATCATCATCATCATCATCATCATCATAATCATCATCGTCATCATCAGCAGCGTCGTCATTGCTACCATAATAAGCATCATGTTCAGCATCATCATCAGCAGCAGTAGTATCACCACCACCATCATCATCATCATCATCACCACCATCATCATCATCATCATCATCATCATCATCATCATCATCATCATCATCAGTATCAGTATCAGTATCAGTATCAGAATAGCATCACCATCACCACCGCATCCTCCACCACCACCATCAACATCAGCATTCCATCATCAGCATCATCATCACCATAATCATCACCATCAACATTATCACCATCGTCGTCGTCATCCACAGCTTCATTCCCATCATCGTCATCAGAATAATCATCATCATCATCATAATCATCAGCATCATCACCGTCGTCGTTTTCATCATCATTACCACCACCACCATCACCATCACCATCACCATCATCATCATCATCATCATCATCATCATCATCATCATCATCATCATCCACATCGTCGCTATCGTCGTCGTCGTCGTCATCCACAGCCTCATTCCCATCAGCATCAGCATCGTCATCATAATCCTGAACATAATCAGCATCAGTATCCTTATCCTCATTCTCATGGTCATCATCATCACCATCAGCCAAATCATCGTCATCGTCATCATCAGAATCGTCGTCATCATCATCATAATCATAGTCAGCATCATCATCATCCTCATCATCAGCGCCATCATCGTCATGGTCATCGTCATCATCAGCATCACCATCATCATCATAATCATAAATATCAACATCACCACCATCATCGTCACCAACATCGTCATCATAGTCACCATCACTGTCACCGTCACAATTACCATCATCATCATCATCAGCAGCATCACCATCATCATTATCCGCATCATTATCCTCATCCTTATCCTCGTCCTCATCCTCGTAGTCATCCTCATCCTTATCCTCCTTCTCATCCACTTCCTCATCGTCGACCTCATCATCATCTTCATCATCATCGTCAGCATCATCGTCCTCATCATCACCATTATTCCCTTCATCATCCTCCTTCCTCTTCGTTTTCCTGTTTTTCCCCTTCTCTCTCAATCAACATGTACCGCCTCTCCCTCTCCATCCCACCCACATCCTCGTCCTCGTCTACGTCCTCGGGCCCTCCCTCGTCGTCCTCCCCCTCCCTCTCCTCCTCTTCTTCCTCCTCTTCATCCTCGGCGTCCTCCTCCTTTTCCTCCTCCTCCTCTTCTTCTTCTTGAGCAGCACCATCAGCAGAATCAGCATCAGCATCAGTATCATCGCCAACGTCGACGTCGTCATCGTCGTCATCATCATCTGCAGCAGCATCGTCGTCATCATTAACAACATCATAATCATCACAATCATCATCGTCATCACCGTCATCACCGTCATCATCATCGTCATCAATTTCCTCCCCCTTCCTCCTCCTTCTCCCGCATCATCTCGCCCGCCCCTCACCATCATTCACCGCCTCGTCTTGATCCCCCCTCCGCCCCCTCCTTCTTCCCCTCCTCTTTGCCCTCCTCATCGTTTACCGCAGCCCCCTTCTGGCCTGCATGTAGTGCATCTTCTGGAAGGGCTTCGGGTGCTTCACGTGGCGGTAGTCCTCGGCGGCCTGCGTCCATGGGCAAGCCCGCGCGGCTCTCCCCATAGGCTCCCTGACCTCTCCGAACCCTGAAAGTGGAGGAAAAGAACTCGAGATTGAAGCAAGAGAGCGTCCAGAATGGATGTCGGGGAGAAGGAAGCGGCGAGGGAAGAAGGGCGTGGCACGAGGAGAGGGGAGGAAGGCCTGGGTGGAGGGAGGGAGGGGGAAGCAGGGAAGCGAGGGAGGGCGGGCGCGAGGAGGGGGAGGAGGAGAGGACGCGAGGGAGGAGGAGGAGAGGACGCGAGGAGCGAGGCTGGAGGGAGGAGGAGAGGACGCGAGCAAGCGAGGGAGGGAAGCGAAGGGAAAAAGCCCTGCGGAGACCACTCCCGGCACAGACTTCTGGGACCCGCTCACCGGGAGACGAGACGACGAACCTACCCTGATCTTCGACGGCGACCCCCCCTCGGAAAATCCACTACGGACCGCCAAATGGAGCAACGAATTATGCTAACGGAGTTCCCCACATAAAGAGATTAACGATTTCGTGGGACCCATTTTCTTGATGCCCTCCTCGCTTTGGCGGGGCCCCGCTGGAAGGGAGGAGGGGCACGAAACCATGTAAATAGTATGGTTTTCGGATACCCTCCTCGCTCAGACGGGGCCTCCCTGGAGAGGTGGGAGGGGCACGAAACCATGTAAATAGTATGGTTTTCGGATACCCTCCTCGCTCAGGCGGGGCCTCCCTGCAGGGGTGGGAGGGGCACGAAACCATGTAAATAGTCTGGTTTTCCGATACCCTCCTCGCTCAGGCGGGGCCTCCCTGGAGAGGTGGGAGGGGCACGAA